TCCAACCCAAAACAAGCAAAAAAGCAAATCAATGTCTATCAATGTTTCCAGTCGAGTCAATATTGAATGACGGATAATTTCATTTTTACCTGAATTCCTCCCAATAACAAGTTAAACCATTTCTTCATCTTCTTATTAATATCATTCCAATCCTCAAAATCAATGAGAAATGTTGGAAAACCCAAAAAAAAATATTTTCACTCCAAGAAATCCTAGAAACATAACCATTCCAAACATGATAATTAATGTTTGATAGAAATTGTTTTTTCTAATTAAATTGATTATTGAATGAATATGCTCTTCAAACACAAATCAAAACATGAGTTTCATTTCAAGACTAAACTAATATGAAACCTTCAATAAACCTGAAACCCACACAGTTTAACCAGACATGATAAAGGTTAAAGATTGCAAAAATGAATTATAGTTTTATTATGATTTTGGATTAACGTTTGACAAAAGATTAAAACTCATCATGAAAGGTTCAATTTTTTCTGGTTCTTTTGTTTATTCTTCCCTGAAAAAAGAGGTAAAAAGAATAACAATAATCTTTTCCTTTGCACCTTTGATTTTCTTGAGCTTTACTGTCTAGTCTAATTACTTGATTGTCAACCTTTTCATTGTTATTGGTATCAACAATTGTCAGTTTGTCCAAACTAATTTGTCAAATGCACACAAAAAGCAAATTAAAGTAACAACCTTAATCATTGAACCGCAAGCATATTTTAATTAATGAAGTCACATGAAATGATGATAATGATGATTACCAAAGTGAACCGTAAAATATAAATTACATTGTAATTGGGTAAAGTTGAAGTAAAATGACAACAAAAATGTCTTTTTAAGGTTAAACCTTGAGCCATTAAATCCCATTATTCTGGTTTTGGGTGAAATTTGAATATAACTTTAAACCATTTTAGACGCATTTTTAAACAATTTGTTGTATCAACATGAAAATCACTCTGAAAACAGCTGCTCTTGGGTTGCAATCATTGATTCATTTTCTGGTTTTTCTGGTTACACCCAATTTATGGGTTAAGATTGAACAATCAGTAATATTATTGTCCATGTTGAATCAACGGTATAATTTAACTTTTTGCCTTCCCTTGAGTTTCATTTCAATATCCAAAGTAATCCGATTATTTTGCCAATTTTTTTATTGCTCCGCTTTATTGAGGTTAATTCATGGTTATGAATTTGTCATTGTATTGCTTCAATTGTTATTCATTAGCTTATTGTTGTGCACAATCAATTGGTTTGAATGTTTAAATGATTTTTGCCTTTGAGAGTTTGATCAATCTTTTGATTAGTTGATTCGATTAAATCATCAACATTAACCGTTCTGCCATTTAATAACATGTAAGATTGGCGATAATTCTTGATTATAAGTCAGGATGCTTGTTAATCTATATTGATAACGATTCAAGATTATAAGAATGAGAAGAAGAATAAGTAAAAGGGAGAAAAAATAAAGATGTAATTGAAGAGGAATAGGGATGAGAAAAGGATGCTTCAACTGGGATGGAGATGAAGGAATGACGAGAATGAGAATGTTTAGCTTCCATTATTTGTAAAGAAACTATGCAATTCTCTGAATAAATGGATTCAGCCATCGATAGTTGAAAAGCTAAAAAGAAGAGAAACAAATCTTGGCTCAAGAAGATTAAAAGTAATAGAAGGAAGATGATCATTTTGATGAAGATGAGACTTGGTTAGACATTTGGATCCAATAGACATTTCATGTGGTTGGCTTTTCATCATTATTTTCACTTGTTTTGCGCTTAAAATTTAATTTCAGTAAAAAGGTTTTAACACTTACTTGAGACTCTATCATGAGAGTTATCGTCAGGGAAGGCAAAAGGTTTCAAAAGATTATATTTTACTCGGAAAGTAAGGGAAAATTCATCTTGGAAGATCACACTTTAAGGGAATCTTGACTGACAGTTGCAAGCAATTGAGTTAAAATGATTAAAGAGTCAAACTGACCGTTGAATTGTAACCAAGAGCACTTACTGGAAAGGTTGGTTTTGCTCTGTGATCAAGTTAATCAACTATTAGGTTGGCCGGATACAGTTTAGGGTCGAGTTTTATTTTATTGAAATTCATGTGATTATCGCACAGTGATGAATATTGGTACTTAGCATCTTACAATATCCATGCATTTTTGCTTGCCCACTATCAAGTGTTTGAATTAAATTCTTAAAGCATTTATCCAATCG